TTGGTATTTTTTGGGTTTTGTTTTTAATTTTAATTTTTTTTATTTTAGAGAAGTGACGTACAAATCAGAGTTAGGTATACAAATCTTCATTATGCAGGTACCCTTGTTGATGAGGTGTGCCGCTCCCTCCCTTGGCAGTTTCCCTCAACTGCCAATCCCACCCACCTCTCCTGACAGTTTCCCACTACTGCCAATCCCTCTCTTAGTATTATGATAATTGTTCACATGCAGCGAGAATCTTTACAGAGAGAGTTGGGACACCGGGCCAGATAGCAACTTTATTTGAGCTGGCATCAGTTTAGAGGATTCACATCCAAAGTCTGAGCCCCGAGTGCAGGGGGCATTGCCTTTAATACAATTTTAGCTCCTTTGTTCCCCGATGAGGCTTACTTATTAGTAACATACAGGTTCATTGGGTATTTCATAGCTCAAGGTTTACAGGAGAGTTGCACATTACAGATTGGGGCCACCTTTCTTTCTAATATGTATCATTCAAGAAAGTTCTTACCTTATGGTGCTAGAAGAACTCTTTTATTATCCTGGGAAGACTTTTATCTTATTGTACTAAGCCAGGGGCTGTTCTGTCCTGGGAAGGCCTTTACCTTATGAGGCTTGGGGAAAGGGCTGCCTGCCTTACAAGCTCTGCTTATGAGTGAGAACATGTGATACTCAGTTCGTTCTTTGTTAGCTCAGATTACTTTGAAACACAGGACTAAAGAAAGAGAACATACTTCCCTGATATCAAGATTTGTAGCAAAGCTATAGTAATTAAAACCAGATGGTATGATGGACCAATGAATGGATTAGAAAATGTAGTATATACACAAGATATAATATTAATCAGCCTTAAAAAGGAGGAAATTCTGACACATGCCACAACATAGATGAATCTTGAAGACATTATGCTGAGTGAAATAAATCAGACATAAATGGACAAATGTTGTATGATTTTACTTAGAGGGACCTAAGTTAGTTAGATTTACAGAGAAATTAAGTAGAATGATGGTTTCCAGGTGCTGAGCAAAGAAGGGAGTGGGGCATTATTGTTTAATGTGGACAGTATTTCAGTTAGGGATGATGAAAATGTTCTGGAGATGAACACTGGTGACGGTTGGACCATGTGTCAATGTGTTCAATGCCACTAAGTTATACACTCAAAAAGTATTAAAGTTTATTGAATATTTTAAAATAAGTGACTCCGACTCAAAAAAAATTTTTTTTAATTTAAAAATTAAAAAAATAAAATAGCTAAAAAAGTGGAATTAGAATGCTCCTAACATAAAGAAATTGTAAGGCCAACCTTGGTAGCTCAGCCTGTAATCCCAGCACTTTGTAAGGATGAGGCAAGAGGATGGTCTGAGCCTGTGGGTTCAAGACCAGCCAGGAAACTCGGCGAGACCTTGTCTCTACAGTAAATCAAGAAATAAGCCGGCTGTGGTAGCTTGTGCCTATAGTTCCGGCTACTTGGAAGACTGAGGCAGAAGGATCAACAGAGCCCAGCAGGTTGACACTGGGGTGGCTGTGAGTGTGCCACTGCACTCCAGCCTGGGTGATGGAGTGACTCCAACTCAAAAAAAAAAAGAAAAAAAGAAATTATAAATGCTTGAGGTGGTTGGTACCCCAATTATGCTGATGTGATTATTACACATTGTATGCCCGTATTAGAGCATCACATGTACTCTGTGAATATATCCACTTATTATGTACCCATAATAATTTTAAAACATTATTAAAGGATTAAAACTATAAATTTTATGTTATGTATGTTTTGCCACAATTTTTTTTTAAAGACAACATAGGTGCCTGAGTGGACAACTAGATCAATAGAAAGAAATGAACACAGAAACAGATCCACGAGAGCTTGGAGTATGATAGAAGTTAAAATCAATGGGAAAGGCTGGGTGTGGTGGCTCATGCCTATAATCCCAGTACTTTAGGAGACCAAGGCAAGAGGATTGCTTGAGCCCAGGAGTTTGAAACCAGTCAGGGCAATTTAGTGAGACCTCGTCTCTAGAAAAAAATTAAAAAATATTAGCTGGGCATGGTGGCATGTGGTTGAAGCAGGAAGATCACAGGAACCCAGAAGTTTGAGGCTTTGATGAGCTGTAATCATGCCACTGCACTCCAGCCTGGGAGACAGAGTGAGACCCCAACTCAAAAAACAAAAAAAGAAAGAAAAGAAAATCAGTGGGGGAAAGGGTGAACTATCCAATAAATAGTGTTGGACAACTGGCTATTTATATGGTAAAAGATAAAATTAGTTTCCTATCTCACATCATACACAAATTACAGCTGAATGATGCTATCAAACTATGAAAGCCAAATTCTCAGAAAAAATGTATGGTGATCTCTGTATGAGATTTCTTGAACAATGTAATAAAAGCTATATTAGCTTCCTAGAGCCGCTGCAACACAGTGTCACAAACTGGGTGGCTTTCAAGAACAGAAACATATTCTCTCACAGTTCTGGAGGCAAGTCTGAAACCAAGGCATCAGCAGAACCGTGCTTCCTCCGAGACTCTGGGCAGAATCAGTCTTTCCTCCTCTCTCCTTAGCTCCTGATGACGGCCTTCGGTCTTCGATGTTCTTGGCTTCCACCTGCGTCACTCCAGTCTCTGCATGTGTTGTCATCCGTGTTCTCCCCAGGTACCTCAATCCAAATTTCCCCTTCTTGAAAGGGCACCGAACATATTGTATTAAGGGCCCAGCCTATTCCATTAAGACTTCATCTTAACTGATTATATATAATGACTGTATTTCCAAATAATGTTACATGCTAAGGTGCTGGACAGTAGGACTTTAACCTATCTTTTCTGGGGATGCAATTCAACCCCCTCCCCCAATTAACTATAAAGAAAATGATTGATATATTTGATCATATTAAATAAATAGTGAGCAATTTATTTTTTTTTCAACTGTAAGATGTGTCAGATAAAAGATATCAGGAACAAGAGATTAGAAGGCCTTTCCTTCATTTTTAGTAATCTTGATATTATAAAACAAATGTGAACACAAAACTGAAATACTTTAACATATCAGTTTATTGAAAAATAACACATACATTAAATTTTTAGTACAAAAATGAATTCTCCTTTTCATCTCCAAGTTATATGTTATAAAAAATATCAGTCTTTTTCTTTGAGTTTTAAATCTTGGTTAAAAGACTCTTTACTTTGAGCTTTTAAAATTCTCCAAGTTATTTTAATGTAAGGGGTAAGGTAGTATTTCAGTGTAAGGGGCACTACTTCTCTATTTTTTCCATATGGTTAGGTAGGTATTCATTCATTCATTCAGTCAGTCAGTCATTCACAAATACACCGTTCCAAGTGCTGAGGATACTGTTGTAAACAAAATTAAATGTTCCCTGATAACACAATGTTTCTCCCTATCCTTGGGTTCCACATCTGCAGATTCAATCAACTGTGAATAAAAACTATTTAGGAAAAAAATTTCAGGGCATGGTGGCTCATGCCTATAATGCCAGCTCTTTGAGAGGTGAGGTGAGAGGATTGCCTGAGTTCATGAGTTTGAGACCAGCCTGGGTAACTTGGTGAGACCTCATCTCCACAATTAAAAAAAATAAAAAATAACCAGGCACGATGGCGCATGCCTGCAGTTCCAGCTACTTGGAAGGGTGAGGTGGAAGGATCACCTGAGTCCACTAGGTTAAGGCTTGGTGGCCATGAGTGTGCCACTGCACTCCAGCCTGGATGACAGAGTGAGACTCCAAGTCAAAACAAAAAAAAAAAATTCAATACTTTAAAATATGCAAGTAAATATACAATATAACATTTTTAGCATAGCATTTATATTGTATTAGGTATTATAAGTAATCTTGAGATGATTTAACATATATGGGAAGATGTGTATAGGTAATATGCAAATACTACACTATTTTATATAAGGGACTTGAACAACTATGGATTTTGGTATTGGGTGAAGGCCTTGGAACCAAATCTTTGCAGATACCAAGGGACACTTGTGTTCTAGTGAGAAGGAAGAGGCTTTCAAAAAACAGGATAACAAATAAGTCAATTTGTTAGTATGTAAGAACTTGATTGGTGTTAGGAAAAAATTAAGGAAGGAGGGTCAGAAGTGCCAGGTGTCTGTAGTACATTGTAAATTTAAATTAGCATTTTTGAAAAAAACATATTTGATCAGAACACATTTAAATGAACATTTGAGCATACAACCAAAGAGTATAAATTATGCTGTGTTTAGGAATAGCAATTAGAGATTAGACAAATGCTCCAATTGATTATTTTTCTCCAACTGGTTAGTTTAAATGGTGAAATGAAATGTTTTGTGTCATGATTTTGGAGAATAAAAGTAGTCAGTTCTTCAGGTAGGGTCAACATAAATGATGCAACCTGAAGCAGATATACAGGTATACAGTGTACCAGATATTGACATTTGACAGTTACAGGAGTGAGGTAGAGGGTGGCTATATGGCTCTTTTCTGCTGATTTTTCTGTGTGTGTAATTAGAAAAATTACATACTTACTCAATGCTTTTCCTGCTTGCATGAGACCAAATTCCCTGAATTCTGATCAACTGATCACTCATTATAAAGTCCTGTATCAAAAATGGTGCTTTTGACCATGCCTATTCAGCATTGTGCTGAAAGCCCTAGCCACAGCAATCAGACAAGAAAGAGAAAGAACTAAAAAGCAACCAAATTGGCAAAGAGGAAATCAAATTACCTCTGTTCACTGATGACAGGATTGTATACCTAGAAAACCCTGAAGACTCCCTCCAGAGCTCCTAGACCTCTATGGAACACTGTATGGAGATTCCACAAAGAAGTGAAAATACAACTACCATTTGACCCAACAATCCCACTCCTGGGTATTTACCCCAAGGGAAAGCAATCATTATATAAAACAGACATTGGCTTAGTTCATTGGAGTGCTGCTTACAACAGAAAAGTCACAAAACTGACCTAGTAGCTGCTCTATGCGGGTTCACTGCAAGGCTGTTCTATGTAGGCAACCTTTTTAGGTGAGATTTTTTGGAGCACTTCATAGTGTAGCATCTTGAAAAACGAACAGTCACTGTGAAGTGATTGTTTTTTCACTGCAGGTCATTTAGTAAACTAAAAAGGCCCCGAAAAAACTGGCTTCTTGGTCCATGTCTATCAACCGCTCATTTGTTATAGAAACAAAAAGTCTGTCATTTTCCCTAAGCTCAAATATCCCCCCTTGATAGATGGAATAGAGTCCGTATTCTGAATCCTTAGACCAACAACTGCTTCTGGCACTTTTCATCAACAGGATGGGGTCAGGATAGCTTGTGTTTTTGTAAATATATTGCACCATTTGTTTGTTTTTCTTTCTGTTCTCTTCTTCTGAAACTACTCCCACAATTTCCTCAGGCTCCTGAAATCGAAAATATGTTTGGGCATAGATGTAATAAAACCCTGTTTGAGGGATAATCAGCTCTCCATTCCTCAAGTGAAAGTCATTCAGGAATGAATGTCCTCTCCTTGATGACTCCCAGGAGTTTATTTTCTGGCCCAAAACCTTTCCATTATTGGCGCCTGGAAGAAGATCAGAGAGAAAGAGCATTAATAGAAGAGAGCTTGTGGTGGAGCAAGAAGGTTACCAGCACCTGTGGCTAGCCTTAATTTTTATTGGGATTGCAAAATACTTCCATCTAACATCCAACTTCTTGTTCCTTCTGTGGGTTATGCAGATTATAAATTCTAGTCCGATAGAAATTGGGAGGCTCCTGTATCATTGTGACACTGAGACCAGCCGGGAGTCCCTCACCTTTCTGTATCTTCTGCAGCTTCAGCCACAACTACACACTCAGTCCTGAGCGGTAGCACAGGGAAGGGTTTAACCCAATAGCAATCTTTACTCCTGGGTTGAACGTCTGCCCTGAACCCCTCTCCTTCCTCCCCGTGATGGTGAGCTCAGATGAACAAGCCAGAAGGAAACCAGAATAAACATATCCATTTCCTTCAGCCTAGAGCTCAGGTCTGCTTGTTATTTCTTTGGGAGTCTTCAGGTTCCCCCTTGATCTTTCTCAGCTCTCCAGAGTCAAAGGCACTGTCCAGGCAGAAGGCATTTCTAGTTCCAAATAGGAGAAGTGCATTGCTTTGCAAAGGAGCCCAGCTTTAAAGGTCCTCAGATCCTTGTATCTTTAACTCAAAGTTAAAGAATGAGAAAGGGCCCTTTCAAAATACGATATTCCTTTAAGTCTGGGGTACAAAACTGGTACAAAATTTAGTTTTTCAAGAACTTAAACCAACTATTATATTTGTTGACAAATAGCAAACAGAGACATCATAATAATTCTATCACTTGTAGGTAGAACAAATCAGTCATCTCAAAAACATGAGTCTAAGAATACTAGGAAGGCAACTGTCTAGAAAAAACAAGCCAAACAAACAAAACTCCTCCAAACAACATTTTTATATATTAACTGATGCCTGAAACTTTTAAAACTTGGGATAAGACCTTTCACAATAATAAAGATGACTGTTTATTGAGTACTTACAATAGGCCAGACATTTTGCTTGTGTTACTGTTAATTTCCACTATTTTATAAGTTAAGGATTGCCTCTACCTTGCATATGAAGAAACTGAACTGGACTGGGTTGCATATTTTGCTTAAAACATATATGTAACCCGGGCATGGTGGTTCACACCTATAATCCCAGCACTTTGAGAGGTGGAGGCAAGAGGATTGCCTGAGCCCAGGGGTTTGAGACCAGCCTGGGAAACTTGGCAAGACCTCATCTCTACAACAAATAAAAAAGTTAGCCACGCATGGTGTGCACACCTGTAGTTCTAGCTACTTGGAAAACTGAGGCAGAAGGATTGATCGCCTGAGTCCAACAGGTCGAGGCTGCAGTGGCCATGAGTATGCCACTGCACTCCAGCCTGAGCAACAGAGTGAGACTCTGACTCAACAACGACAAAAACAAAACATATATATAGGTGAGGAGAAGCTGGGACTCCAACTTAGGTGTTTACACCGTAAGGCCCATGCACAATATTTACAGCGCTATATCAACACTTACTCTGCCTAGGTAAAAATTAGACAATATATTTGGTTAAACCATCTGAAACAGACATTTCTGTAAGTAAAAATTGGTCAAATATTGGCAATTTCCTATGACTCAATATAAATGCTACTAGGAGCGCCTAGTGAGTCACAGTGAAAGTAAATGATTTAGAAGTTCTGAAGGGGAGGAAGACTTGTTGGACAAGCAAGCAGTAGAAGAAATCATCATAAGAGAGAGAGGGAGAGAAAGAAAGAAATTACTTTAAAGAAGAAAGAAAGAGCAAAATGGGGTCCTCGGCTCCACAGACAAAATTCTCCCACTTTGTAATTTCCTAAGGTCAGTGATGTCACGACGGCAACTGAGCTATGTGTCTGGAATCTTCCTTCTGATTCAGGGCATCTGAGACCTGACTCTCACCGAGCACTTTGTAGAGGGCCATATACACATCTCAGGTGAAAGCTTAAGAAATAAATTATTTGGAATAAATTTTCCTTTGAAAACAACTTTACTGTTTCTCTTACTTGAAGAGGGGAACGGTCTGCTTCTTCGCTGATTCCCAGTTATATGAGCTGCTACTCTTCGACTGCCTCTTTCCCTCACTAGGGATGTAAGACTTTGTCGCTTTTCTGAAAGAGAAATGACAGAGAATTAGCACCTATGAAACTAGTTGTCAAACACATTGTTTTTCACAGCTGTTGTCAGTCGGGTATTGTAAGCACACTGGGCTTCCAAAGTTCATTCTGTGAGTTTTCATGAAAACAGCTTTTTAGCATGCTGATCAGTCTGCTACAGCTAATGTTTAATTTTAAAAGTACTTTAGATGAGAAGAATAAACAGTAACATGGATTACAATTTACCAGTACCTTGGAGGTAAGGTCCAAAGAAGTTATAGCAAAGTGAAGATTCGGGACCCTTTCCAAAAGCAAAATAACTGCGTACTTGTGATACTCCTGATGAGTTATTTAAAGTGTGCAAATCAGGGCGGGCTCGGTGGCTCAGCCTTGTCATCTCAGCACTTTGGGAGGCCGAGGAGAGTGGATTGCCTTAGCCCGTGAGTTTGAGACCAGCCCGGGCAACTTGGCGAGACCTCGTCTGTACAATAAATCAAAAATTAACCCGGCATGGTAGCATGCGCCTGTAGGGCTACTTGGAAGGTGGAGGCGGAAGGATCGCCGGAGCCCAGCAGGTTGAGGCTGTGGCGGCTGGGAGCGGCCACTGCACTCCAGTTTGGGCGACAGAGCAAGACTCCAACTCAAAAAAAAAAAAAAAGTGTGCAAATCAGCAGGTATTGGCAAATTTCCACTTTGAGTAACATATAGAAATAACTTCAGTGGTGCCAATTTTTATCATCTCAATTATCTTTTCCTTCTTGCTAGCTGCTATGGATTCTAAAGAATTGTCCACAGATACTGCAAACTGGCATTCAACAGTCACCCTGCAACCATTCTCTTACTCCCAAAAAAGGATTAGGAATTAACATGCTGGTCATGCCATTCAGCATGTGAGCACAGACATTACAGATTCACTAGATCAGAATAAACAAATAATATTTATTGGCCACCATCCAAAGTATGTTAGAGCAGCCTTAAAAAGTACAAATTTTGCAAACTATTCTCTTTTAAAAATCAACTCAAACTTCCCAAGTTTGCTTATGTTAGTTGTTAAATTATATTCTTCAATTAGACAAATATTACCAGGGACAAGGCCCTTTACTATTCCCTACAGGGCTACAAAAATTAATCACTGACTTCACCGACTGAGCCCTCAAAGGACTTACAGGCTTCAATGGAAGATATGAACTAGAAAGCGAAAATGTATCTATGGGAGATAGAAATAAAAGGTGATGGGTGTTCAGAAGAGGGAAAGACTCCTGTAGAGGAGAGCTGAGGTCAAGGTGGGGTTTGTGGAGGGGACAGCACTGAGGTGCTTTCATTCCCTAACTCCAGCAAACCAGAGTGCCCATCACATCTGTGCCAGCTGCTCTTCTAGCCCGAAGCAGAAGGAAACTGCCTGAGGTGGAAAGATAAATGTCTGAACAAGGTGAGCGCAAGTAGGCTTGAGGCCTTCAGGAATGAGGGAAAGGCATTCCCAAAAAACTAGAACAGAGGCCCCAGGCAGGATTCACAAAGCCCTCCTGGGACATGGGCCTTGGGGGAGTTCAGTGTCAGGCTTGAGTGAGAAGTCAAACTGTGTAAGATATGAATGTCAGGCTGAGGATTGGACTTGGGGGTAATAGGGAGATGCCCAAAGGTTTTGCTCAGGGATGGGAAGAGACATGTACTGTGCTTTAGTCGACCTATGCCACAGGAAGGTTTGATGGACAGGTGGTGAGAGGGCTGGGGGCTGGCAGAACGTGACCAGACTGTTACAGCTGTTCAGGAGAAACCAAAAGGAGGTGATGAGGCTCCACAGTGGAGGAATGAATGGGAAAGGAGACTGTCTTCTGTCTATCTGGGATGTTGTCACTTACTCAGGATGGGTGGAAACTTAAACAGCACTGAAGGCCAAATGTGGAATGGCGGTGCAGTCCACTGTATATTAGTCTCAAAATGCTCAGCTTTCAAGCATGATGTGTTCATTTAGCTTTAACTTCCTCTGTTAAATAATTCATAATGCCTACCTGCTCCTAACCCTTAACACTTATTAAAGGTTAAATATTCATAAGTGAATAATTTATAAGTGAATCCAATTATAAATATCCTCCATCTGAGGTCACTGCAAGGACATAGATGGAAAATCCTAAATTTGAAAGCAAATTTTATTTATTTATTTATTTATTACTGAGTTGGAGCCTCAGCCTTCCAAGTAGCTGGAACTACAGGTGCACACTACTACGCCCAGCTGATTTTCGATTTATTGTAGAGACGAGGTCTTGCCAGGTGGCCCGAACTGGTCTCGAACCCATGAGCTCAGGCAATCCACTCGCCTCAGCCTCCCAAAGTGCTGGGATTATAGGCTGAGCCACCGAGCCTGGCCAAAAGCAAATTTTAAAGAGAAGACATCTCCTGGTTACAGCAAACAACTCCCAGAAAAGAAGCTTGCACATATACATATGTGTCATGGATACATCCCGATACACAGAGTAGTATGTGATCTCTTCACCTTATTAGGATGGATTTTAAAAGAATATTACTCTTTCAACACTGAAAGCAGGGTATCCATCTACAGTAGACCATGGATCTATGTGCCTCGTCAGTACAGGTGGGGTATTCAACACTCTGACTACTGGCTTTTCCTTCGGGAAAATGACCAGAAAGGATGCTTAGACCCCAGAGCAGGTTTGTTCTTCTTATTTAAGGAAGCATATTTAATGAGGGAAAATGGGGTTGTCAGGTAATGAGGAAGCTTACTGTATTGGAAAAGGAAAGTTGAAGAGTAGAAAGCCATCATGAGCAACACATACAGTAAAAAATAGTTTCTTCCCTGTCAGGTTGGTGCACCCAGGATTGGAAGTCTCTGACACACGTGTTCAGGTTGTATGGCCATTAGTGTGGGAAGTGGGCATACAGTTATCCAATGGTGAAGAAGTAGCAAAGGTAATTCTGTAACTTTGTTTACTCATTTACTTAATCATTCCAAAAATAGATATTAAGAATCTTTTGGGTAGAGAGACATGGTGCTGGCACCACATTGTGAATGCACTAATTACACTAAGTTTTGCACTTTAAAATGATTGATTGTACATTATGTGAATTTTACCTCGACAACAATACAGGCACACACATGTAACACACACACACAGACACACACACACACTCTGAAGGTGGTGTTGGCAAGGGCCTAAGGGGAAAACCGGAACCCACTAGCTTGAGGCATAGAGTTAGGTATGAGGTATGGAGGGCGGGAGAAAAGACACGTTTTCGGTCTTTGTGGATCTTTGACCTAGTAGGGACACAGACAGCACACAGATTCAAAAATACATATAAATAAAAGTGAACAGGTAATGTAGTATGATAGAAATAACAGGGAAACTTAGTTAGGTGGCCAGGGAAGGAGTCTCTGAAGAGTGACCGTGAGGCGAGCTGTGAAAGATGGGGCGGATTTGGGGGCTGAAGAAGCCAGCCGGGGCAATAGTGCTGAGCGGCGAGGCCAGCTGAGAGGAGGCTCCGACCATGGACAGGAAGGGGCTGTGCGTGGAGACCACAGGGTGAGGGTCATGGGTGGGCAGAAAGATGTTGGGAAAGGGATGGTGGAGCGAGGGACTTTCGTGCAAAGAAAGGCCCAGAGCCTGGTGGTGGTCAGAAGCAAGGAGAAGGGTAACTTTGGGAGGCTTTATTTATTTCCCTTCGTTTTCTAGAAAGGATTTAAGACGGTTTATTTATAACACATCAGGAGGTAAAAATTAAAAAGTGAAAAAATTCAGGGGAAAGGAAAATTCATGTGCAAACATAAGATTAAGCTGCAATGAAATTCTGGACACGAGTGGGCCACAGATTTGATTCTGAGCGTTCTATCTGCCAATGCAAAGGGGGAAATAGAATCAACAAGTGCTTCAGACAAGAAGCAGCAGGGAGCAGGTGGGAGGTGTGGATGGGAGCAGAGGGAAGGAGAGCGGAGACCTGTTCAGCCTGTCATAAAGTTGAAAGTAGGAAATTAAAGTAACAACAACAAAAATACTACCTTGAACTGTAGGAATGGTTTCCTCATAGGTTCTCAAAATCATCTGCAAATAGTATTGAATAAAGCTTGTTAATTTCCCTGAAAATGTAGGCTGACAATAGAATGCTTATGGCTGATGCCTAGCAGGAGAGGTCTACAAACACCACCCACCTGGGAGGCTCTCAGCTGGTCAGGCTCAGGGCAGGAGCTGGGAGGAGTACTCAGACCCCCATCCCCACACAGTGATCAGGGGATGGCCTCCTGCCTGGCAGAGCTCTGTCTCCAGATGAAGTCTTTGAAAGGCCACACCTGGAGCAGTACAACTGCCCTGTGCGGTCAGCCTGATGTCCCCCAGGTCTCCGTGTGGCTGATGGGTGTGGCAACCACACTACATCACTTTCCGTGTGCAGAGTGTTTATGTGTGTAGCTTGCATGTGTGTAAGGGCACAGTGTAACAGAGCCCAGGGCTTTACGTGACTGGATGGCCCCAAACCCCGAGATGCAGGACACACTTCCTCTCTCCTGGGAGGCCTGCAGATGCACACAGCCCATGGAGGTGGGACCTGGCCATGCGTACCTTGCTCTCGTTTCTGAGAATGTGGCGGAGCCAGTCTCAGCATCAAGCTATTCTACCAAGCTCCTATATCTTGGCTAAACATCTAGCAAAACCCCCTCTTCATACACACCAATGGGGAAAGCCGTGAAGAAATCACGAAGCCTGATCCTTTTTATTGAAAGGGCAGACCCTGGCTTGGCTCCTTTGTGGCTCTGAGACCCCTCCCTCCAGCTGTTCGCCTGCCCCTCCTGCCCATCACTGCTCTTTCCCACCACGGGCGCTAAATTTTGCAGCTGCCAGAAACGTGCCTTCTCTGTACTCCCACCCCACACCAGAAGCTCCCTGCCTCAGCTCTGACCTCAGGTCATGGTGGAAACAACTGGTCAGTCTCCTAGGCACTGGTGTAGGGGAAGGGGAGATGGAAGGGAACCTCGGCATTCTCTCTCTCCTCTCTCTCTCTCTCTCTTTCATCTCTGTCCGTCTTTTTCTCTTTCCCTTTCTCTCCCTCTCTCTCATTTCTCTGTCTGTGTCTCTCTCTCTTACTACTGATCTCTCTCATTCTGGGACAAAAGAGAAGGAAGGAAGAGAGGCAGCAGGAAGGAGAGAAAAGTCATCCCAACTATGTGGGAGGCAGAATAAAAGTGACCACAAGCAGATGGCCTGATTCAAATCCTTCCATTACCAGCTCTGTGAGACTTTGTTCAAGTGACTTAACTGATCCTAACATCAATTTCTTCATCTACTTAAAAATATATATATATATATTATATGTATATATAATATATATATATATATATAAAAGGACAATGACAATTCCTTCCTCACAGACCTGTTGTGAGGATTAAATCAGTCAATGTATGAAATGGGCATAGGTTGTTTACTAGAAATGTGCCTGAAGAAAATAGAGACTAGGCTTTCCCACATTCCCACTCACGTCCCTCTGGGTTGTCACCCAACTTCTCCCTTTTCTGGCCGGGAACAGGATGTGAGTGTGGGGGTGGGGGATGGCAGAGAAGCATATATGAATCTGCCCACCTGCTTCTCTTTTCTCCCCACTCCCGGGCCCCAGCCTCCAGCACCCTCCTCAGCCCCCACATTTCCACGCTGGTTCTCTCTGTTGGGCTGCACCCCCACTCCCGGCCCAGGGACTCGGGAGCTCCATTTCTCAGCTTTCTCAGAACCCTTCTCTAGCCTGGGCTTTTCCTGGTCTTCTGGTCCTCACTCCCTAAACAGTCACTGTCATTTGAAATGGTGGAGTCACAGCTGCTTCCAGATATTCTGTTGTGTATAGTAGGCACCCCTGGCCACGCTTCCAGGGCAGCCACAGAGCTGGGGTGTCTCCCAAATGCGAGTCCGACTTCATTTTCCACAGAAATAGCATCATAAGTGATGTCTGGACTCTGCTGTGAGAATTTCTCAGGGTTATAAAATTGATGCCTAAACAACACTGTCTCTATGTGAAAATGGCCTCTGAGCACCAAACAATGACTTACAAACATGTCTAAAACACATCCTCTTCCCACCCAGGGAATTCCCCCGGTATGCCTTTAGACCATGATGATGTATGGTGCTTCCTAGTTTACAGAGCACGTTTACAGATGGGTTCTCATCTGACATTTTCACATAGGCTGAAGGCAACTATTATCAAATGCCATCTTAAAGAAGAATGCAGGCCAAGAGAAGAAACTTGGTTTGACCTAAGTCACAGTGCTGAATGTAAAATTAGTTAACCACATGTTGTAAAGTAAACAGTTAGCTAGCATGATGCTTCTGCTGGAGATCCTGTTTAAGCAACTTCTATAAACAGAGACTACTTGCAATTTGACATTTATTGACTATACATTGAGATGATATCGCTTTCCAGTTCTCAAAGTAACTCTTCCCTCTTCGTTTCCTCTTTCTTCATCTCTAGATGCATACAAAAATAAATATATATTTAGTTCCAGAGGCCAGCAATGTGGAATAATAAAACATCATTATTTGGCCTCCTTTGTCTTCTGAATGAAAAAAAAAATTACACACACACCCCTTATTACTTTGTGACCTTAACCACATTGCCCTGTTTGTGCCTCAGTTTCTGTCATGTAAAGTAAGAAGGTCAGAGTAAATGAGGGCTGCCTGGGGTAGGGGAATGACCTCTAGACCCAGAGTAAGGTAGGAACTACATTTGGGCTGTGCCACCTTCTCCTAGTTCTGTGAATTGGGGGAACATCACTTGAACACTCTGGGCTGTTTTCTCATTTGCAAGATGAGTAGTCTAGACTGATCATCTTAAGGATTCCTTCTTTGATCTTCTACGCCTGCTGGTGAGGTCGCCTGGGCAGGATACCTACCTTTCTAACAAGCTGACGTAGTTGCCACTTGACTTGCCAGCAGGGGCTATTCATGCTTTCTTCGTCATTGGTGTCCCAGGAGCTGTCATCTTCCTTTAAGAAGCAAGCGATGCCACTTTTGGAGTACTTGTCCTGCATCTAGGATGAGGTGGAATACAACACAATATTATGCACAAGTGCTTTTAGCCTTTGTCCACCTGGAAGTCAAAACAACAGAAACTGATGAACAGATTCAGAGAAGTTTTGGCATCTTGGATAAGTTCTTGCTCGTAAAAGTAAGCACGATGCCATTTGTCCACTAAACAAAAGACTAAAAGTAAGCAGCTGGATACGCCGGCAAGGATGCAGGTGTGGTCGGGTATCCTGGCTCACAATGTCCTTCCCTGCTTCCATCCCTAAACAGCTGTGTGTACTTTGACAAGTTGCGTCCCCTCTTCTGTGGTGGTTCTGAGGACGCTTCCAGCTCTGCCATGGAGTAGTTCTCATTCTGAAACTGGAAATTCACCTCGATACAAAGTAGGAGTGGAAACAGTTTAAATCCAAGGATCCTAAATAAAAACTAGCCAAACTCTTTGGGTAGGGGATAATATTCTGTTTCTTGGCTGGTTGAGTAGTTTTTAAATCTGATTTCTACTCCTCTGGATGGCAGAATGCAGAATGTCTACACTAGCTAGGAATTTATCTGCAGAGATTTTAAACACCACTTGACAGTTTATTCCCTCTTTCTGGTTGAAAGTAAACATTTACAATAGCCAGATCATTACCAATGAAGTCCTCACTCTCATCAAAAGGTCCCTATTTGATGTTATAAATGCACACACACACACACACACACACACACACACACACACACCACAAACCATCCAGAACTCTTCAGTGGGATAATAGCTTAATCAGGAAAAACAGGACGTCTACACAAAGTCAAAAGTTGATTGAAGAGCAGGTTATTTTCCTGCCAAAATCGCTGAGTTGCCTTTCCCTGGGGAAATAAATGGGGGAAGTGGCCATTTTTATCTGTTATTTGAACTTAGGGTACTGGAAACCTTGAAGAGGAACCAAATTAATGATGACCCATTCTTTTTTATAGAAAGACAATCATATTTTAAATAAAAATGTCTTAATTTATGAGAAGTTCCAGCCAGAGTCACATGGTTCTGTACTCAGCCATGCAACCTCTGAACATCTGGTCAAGGTCCCTCAAGTGCAAAGGTGCAAACTTGAGTTAATGAATTCCTTCTACACACCCTGACCTAGAACACTTGTTTACTTTCAAATGGTGTTTCTGTGTTTATTCTTTCTGTTTTAAGTTACAAGAGGAAATATTTTCTAGTGGCTGTAGTTGGGGATAGAGCTGGGCCACCTGACTTGAGATGTGACTGGCCGTGGGACTGGGCACATTTCCTTTCCCTGTCCAATGCATGCGTCCTGCTGTAGCATCTGGTTGCATTTCCAATCTTCTTGGGAGCTGGAAAGCCTTTCCAAGGAAGGCGCTCAGTCATACTTGGTTCAGAAATGTGGGAGTATGCCTAGAAAAACTGCTGAGAGGGTCAGAGAGGAGAAGGAGAAGAGCTGGAATGGGCCCCAAGGCAGAAGGGTGATTCCAGGAAGGGCCAGCATTCCCTGGACATCATCCCAGTCCAGCCAGTCTGAGCATGCTCTGGCCTGGCATCAGTTTGATTAAGCTGAACAAGCAGGCTGGGAAACATCTGCAACTTGTTAGGACAAGAGGGTGGGCATGATTCACAAGGGAGGGAGCAACCTGCTTTGTGACTTTGCAGCAGCTAGAAACTGTCTCAGCATGAGAGGCTATGCCACAGGCCGCTGGAGCAGAGTTGACAGTTGCCTAGGCTGAGGCAGTTATGGGTGGCAGACAACAGCCTGTCAACTGAAGTGGAGTTGGACAGGGCCAGCCCAGGTCAGTACAAACTCTGCCTAGTACCTGTAATACCCTCTGGGAATTTTCCAGAAATCCTTTCAGTAAATGGAAAGAGAAACTTGGAAACTAAGTGAATGGAAAGAGAAATTTGGAAACTGAGTGAGGTCTTCAGTATGTGTTGGTGAGAGATTGATAAGCTAATGTAGCTCCATTTCAACCCCAAAGTTAATAAAGCCTGGATACATTCAGGATACACAGGTAACCTGGAAAAGTAAAGAACGCTTTTCTTAAAGCAAAAACAAACAAACAAAAAAACTCCTCCAAAAACCAAATAAATAAAACACAAAACCAAAAACCTAACCACCACCAACACCTATAATCCCACCTCCTGGTTAACCTTTGATAATCTCTTTTTACTGTGTGTCAATTTTGTGTATGGTTGTTTTCTCATAAGGTCATACACAAATGTCATGTTCTTTAAATCTGTATGAAAATTATATATGGGTAGCATGGGTATTTTTTACTATAAAATTTGACTATCCAAATTATAAAAATTATAAAATATAGAAAAAGAAAAAAAACATCCATAATCCTGCCATCTAGCGATCACAATTATTTTGGTGTTTCTCTTTCTAGATGTGTTTATACATAAACATTGATTTCTAAACAATAGGAACTCAGAGAAGCCTCAGTCACCTCACTTGGTTCTTGCATTATTACATTGGGTAGTTTCTTCTACAAGCTTTGGCTAATGCTGATGACGGGCCACATGGCATGTTGGGGTGGTGCTGTGGTTATTCTAAGAATCATCAGTGACAATTAGGGTGATATGTCTTCAGACTATCCCCTACAAAGTACGAGTTCCTATTCTCCTGCTAACCAGACCTTGGTGTTGGGGGCAGAAGATTGTGTGTGTGCTATTTTCTTGTTTGTTTGTTTGTTTCTGAGTTGGAGTCTCACTCCATCGCCCAGACTGGAGCACAGCAGCATGCTCCTGGCCACTGCAGCCTTGACCTGCTAGGCTCTGGTGATTCTTCCACCTCAGCCTTCCAAGGAGCTGGAACTACAGGCGCACGCTTCCACGCCCGGCTAGTTTTTGACTTATTGTAGAGACGAGGTCTCGCCAAGTTGCCTGGGCAGGTCTCGAACCCAAGGGCTCAGGCAATCCACTGGCCTTGGCCTCCCAAAGTGCTGGGATTACAGGGTGAACCACCAAGCCCAGCCAATGTGTGCTGTTTTCATCCACATGCCTCTGGAAGGAAACAAAAGCTCTTGCCCTGGATGCCTGTTCTTCAGCTCCAGAACTCTTTGGTTTGAAAAGCGGATTTCCATAGTGACCGTTCTCAGTGCTGTCACAAACATGGCGGTTATCTAGGCCAGGACCAACCAGTCCTTGGTGGGGCTTGAGGTCAGCAGGTTGGACTCTTTTGCCAGCTCAGATACTTTGAGATGGCAGCCCTGACACTCTCTGCTGGCCAGATATTAGTATCTTACATTTTCTGCAAACCACAAATGGCAAGGATCATTTATGGAGATCTATAGAGAGGGTCCCCTTCTCCTTTTTCCTCCCCATCTATGTATGATGCCACAGTGATAGGCCATTCCTTGTCATAAAACTTTCTCAGAAACATGGACTACAGAGGCTCAGCCATAATTATTGTTCATGTTTGCTGGTCTACAGGGCCTTGGTGAAGGTCCAATCCAATATTACAGAGCCTTCCTTAACCTGCACTCCCTATGATCTCTGCTCACTGTATCTTCTGCAAATTTTCTCCAAAGTAGAACCTGTGGTCAGTTTTAGGAAATTAACACTTGTGTTGAATATGCCCTTCAAAACACTTCATAAACACCCAAGGATATTCAGATTTATTTTCCCTTGAGAAAATTTCTGGGGAAGAAAGTGACATCTTCAAGAGAGTTTTCAGTAGTATTTACAGTGGTTACTACTGATTGAGCAGCTACTTAATGCCTGGCTTCAAAATTGGGCTTTACATTTTACTTATTTTGTAAACTTGGGCAAATCACTTAGCTTCCGTGAGCCTTTGTTCTTCTATAATATGGGGTGATTAAAACTACTTTATAGAATTGCTATGAGAATGAAACAGGGTAATACTTTTCAAAGTTTCTGAGACATAGTAATTACTTAGTATCTGTTCAGTCTTCCTGTCCAGCACACTCAGGGAATTCGGCATATCTAGACATACATATATTCATATGGAAATATGCAATTAAACATGTGTGCAAGTGGGGAGATGTTAAACTTTATTTGAAATTTCCATTTTTGTAGTAAAAAACAATTTTAAAAATTAAAAAACAAACTTGATTATACACACAGACAATTGCATGAGTCAGTTCAGTGAAGAACCAGTTGATTCATTCTTAAAATCAGGCCAACTTGTAATGTGTGCAAATCAAGGGAGCCATTTGTGTGTAAAGAAGCGGTTTCACTCTGTCTATGCCACAAAGTTAGCAAAGGTTAAGACATGCCAGCTCTAACTTAGTGAACACAGCAGTGTTGCAGTCTCTTATGTAGACTTAGAGCTTAAGGTGCAATTACAGTTTAATGGATTTTTTTTTCTTATAAAGATATAGCCTCTTCTAAATATCCTACAATTAACCTGATGTTACTGGTCATCTAATGGTAGCCACAGTTTTCATAATTACTTGCAAACGAAATAAGAGTCTGCCTCATCCATTTCCAAAAGAAAAGCTACCAACGGATTGAGAAAATGAAATTTACATTCCACAGGATATGCAAACTACATTTTCCTAACAGATAACTAGTGCTCAATGGCTTTTGCACAATTTCTATTTTTGTGAGACTTTAACCTTGCATTTCTGAACCAGTTGGCTAGATGCAATGTGCATCACAAGGTGCACCTGTTGGGCGGAAGAGCATCACCTGGGCACCACAGACCTGGGTACTAGCCTGGTTTTGTCCCCAAAGCCTTGTCTGAACTTAAGTCAGTCATTCCTAGTCTCCTCATTTATAAATGCTAGTGGTGGAGGACGTGTCTTGAGTTCCTTCCAGCTTGTAATTCTCTACTATGTGATAAATGATTGATTAAAATATTCACTAGAAGCCAAAAATTGAGTTGGTTCATTTAAGCAATTCTGTATTCATAGTTCCAGAAGCTTTAGTCAAGAAATTCATAAATTAAAATGACACTAAAGGATTTTTTTGTTGTTGTTTTTTCTTTCAAACATACCTGGATTTGTATCTGGACCAACCATTGATGTAGAGTAGCAATTTTATTTCCAGTTATTGTGAACAATAAAATGCTGCATCTATCTGGTAACTTCTGTATCACAGAGTTTACCATGACAAGCCTGTGTCCAAGGAACAGGCAGAATGCCAGTTCTTTGTAGTCTCACACTTATTGTCCATGCAGGAAGGCCACAGCTCTAAAACCAAACATTCCAAAGATTTGATTTTCCACTACGCCACGCTTAGTCTTGAAGGAAAGAGAAACCTGATATTCTAAGCTTTGGTTCTGGCTTTTTGTTCACATGCATATTATTCTACCTTGTGAAAATCTGACTTGTCTATATGAAGGCTTTCCACCTAAACATTTAAAATGTTTAAAAAAAAAGGATGGGAAGGAGAAGCTGGCATTGGTTAACAGCCCTGAAGCATGAGGACAAGCACACGGTGAAGAGAGTGTTTCCGTCTCTGCAGGGCCCGGGTCTGCATGTTGTGCAAGTCCACTGGGATCATCCACATCGGTACACAAAGCAACAGTGCTCCGTGCCTTGGAGCCTGGCTGTGGGTCTAGCCCGCCCTTGCTGCCTGCATATTAGTGGCACATGCCACATGTGTGAAGGCTGTTTGTTTATTCAGCGAGTATTCAATGAGCACAGGTATTCAGTGAACACATATTTACTGTGAGTGGGGTCTTGGCAGCCATATGCTAGACCCCAGAGGGTCATGGTGAGCAAAAGCAGACAAGTTCTGTCCTCATGTAGCGCCCTCAACAAGAACACCTAAATCAAGGACTACAGAGCAGAGCGCACTCATGAATGGCTGCAATTGCTTATGTTACAAAATCCATATACTTTTAAAAATTTTAACTAATTAATTTATTTATTATAAAGATGCGGGATACAATTCAGGGCTAGGTATACAAACATTGATCATGCAGGTCCCCTTGTTGGTGTGGCATGCCCCTCCCTTACCTAACAGATTCCCCCAACTGCCAGTCCCAGCCCCCTTCCCCTGACAGTTTTCTGCTACTGCCATTCGCCTTCGCACAGCATTGTAATTGTTCAAGGTCACCTTATGAGTGAGAACATACGGAACTCAGTTCTTTGTTTCTGTGATAAATCACTGAGTATGATTGACTCCAAATCCATCCAATTTGCTGCAAAGTCCATATATTTGTCCTTCTTTATAGCTGCATAATATTCCATTGTGTATATGTACCACATTTTTAAAATCCAGTTCGGTTTCTATGGGCAACACGGTTGGTTCCATGTTTTTGCTATTGTGACTAAATACCTCGGCATCTTCCTAACCAGAGAAGTGAAAGACCTTTACAATGAGAACTACAAAACACTGCTCAGAGAAATCCAAGAAGACACAAACAAATGGAAAAATATCCCATGCTCATGGATGAAGAATCAACATTGTTAAGATGTCCATCCTACCAAAGACAATCTACAGATTCAACAAAATACCCATCAAGTTACCAATATCATTCTTCTCAGACCTGGAAATGACAATACAGAAATTTATATGGAAACATAAACGACCATGAATAGCCAAAACAATCCTTAGCAAGAGAAACAAAACAGGAGGTATCACACTTCCGGACTTCAAACTTTACTATAAGGCTACAGTGATCAAAACGGTCTGGTACTGGTACAAGAACAGGCATATAGAACAATGGAACAGGATAGAGATTCTGGAAGCAAAGCCTTAATTCCTCAACCAACTCATCTTTGACAAAGCCTCCAATAACAACCACTGGGGAGAGGAGAACCTATTCAGTAAATGGTGCTGGGAAAACTGGCTGTCCACATGCAGAAGATTGAAACAGGACCCCTACCTATCACCACACACAAAAATTAACTCTAAATGGATCAAAGACCTAAATGTAAAACCTCAAACTGTAAGAACCTTAGAAAATGCAGGAAACACTCTTATGGAAGTTGGAACTGGCAACCGATTCCTGACCAAAACCCGAAGTGCCCAGGCCATAAGAGATAAGATAGCCAAGACCTCATTGAAGTGCACATAGTTTTAAAACTCACAAAGCCCCGGGAGTTCCGTTGCCTGCCTCTGCCCATCACTAGTGGAGCCAGTTCTGCAGCAGCACTGGGTTCACACAAGCTCTCGCACGGACACTCTCATGAAATCCCAGCAAGGACACGCACTAGCAGTTAGCCTCCCGACAGAGAAGAGAGCATTTTCTTCCACAGTATAGTCTCCAGGGAGGAGCAAGCTGAGAGGCAAAGGAGAGGCCGGTAAGCCGACACCGCGGAGAGCCTGGGACTGCACTGACCTGCTTCAGCTCTCTGTTGAAGTACAAGTAGGTCACAGCCATGCAGAGGGACTGCAGGAGCACCGTGAAGATCAGGATCAGCACGCAGGTCTGCCCTGGGCTGGGGCCCCCCGGGGCTTGCATCACAGCCATGGTCCCGTCAGGTCTGTCCGCCCCGGCCAGCCAGGCAGTGGTCACCGGGGCCCTTGCTTGTTTCTTTTAGCGTCACTGAGAAAATGAAACCGAAGTTGTTTTTCCCATCGCACACCAAATAACCAGGAAGTCCCTGCCACCTGGGCTCCACCCCACAGTGATTAAATTTGTTGTCTGTCCTTCCCTGTTTTCCCCTCAGCCCAACAGAGCGCAAGAGGAAGCTTGTGGCAAAGCGGTGTTTTGGGAAGGAGGGAGACCAGACCCTCCCTCTGGCCTCTGGCCTATGCAGCCCTCTCTCTGCCCTCGTCTCAGCCTCGTTGGCTCTCTTCTCCCCACTCTCCTTCTTTCTACAATCCCCTCACCCAAAGGGCCTGGGATTGGGAAAAAAAAATCTTCCCGCCATCTCTTCATTCCACCAGAGGCCTCTAAGCTTCACGGCCTGGCTGCCACAGGCCTATTTTCTACACTACAAGAGAAGTTTTACGGCTTAAAACTTCCATGCGTGGTTTTCCTTATGCGCCTGTGAGGTGCTGGTATCAGGTGGGTGGGAGAGGGGAAAGGAAAGCAGAAATCCCTCTTGCAGCAGGGTCTTGCGCCACGGCCCTGCTTTGAGTGTCAGAATCTAGGGACTGAGTCCTTTCTCTTTGCAAACCTCTGACACAAATTCTAATCTACCCCTACTCCCACTCGTACCAAGGTCATCTACTCATGGTCAGGTTGGAGAGGCAGGAAGCAACTGACACACTCAGAGAGGCAAAAGACAAAATATGCTGATATTTTCCAAAATATGCTGATATTTTCCAAAATATCAACCCCTCACAGCATCTCATTGTTACTGTCCCCCTTTTACAGACTAGGAAAACGAGGCTCGAGAAAGTTAACTTGCCCTAGTCAGGGGCACACAGCTCCATGAGGTACTGTGAGGACAATGAGGTACAACATGCTGTCCCAGCTGCATGTCATCTCCATGACTTATTCAGTATTTCATGACCATTCTAGACCCACTGAATCAGAGTTTCGGGCAACAGGCCTAGGGATCTACATTTTTGGCACGCACTCCAAGAGATCCTTTAGAATCTGAAGTTTGGAATCCTTGATCTCAGTGAGTCCCAGCTACTGCTCTGAGCTCAACCAGGTGCCCCTGGTCACTGATGAGCCACCACTACCTGCCCTTGCCTTCCAGCTGTAGATAAATCCACAGTCTACATCTGGGAAAATATTTTTCACACCTTAAATGTGCTTCTGTCAAAATGTCAGATTTTAAAATGCAAGCCTCTTTTGGGTATAAGTGAGTTGGCAAGTTAGTTAGTTACCTACTGAAAATTCTAGGCATTATATGAACCAAAAGTGTCTTAAATATACTTACACTTTAAATCCTGGGGTGAACGAGTTTTTAAAATCAAGGTAAAGATGAGTGGGATAACTATAATGTACAAGACATATACAGCCAGGTAGGGAAGAAATAAGAAATGGAAAAAAAAAAAAAAAAAAGGGGAGGAGACCAAAGAAAAACCATGTTCACACCTTTGTTATAATCCAGAAGTAGAAACATTATGGTTATGATACATGTGAAAGGCAGAAAATATCAACAAAGCCATGGAAAACATGTAGAAGTCAACATCTCTACCTTGTGGGAAAGCAAGAAAGTCTGGAATATGAAGGATGAGGAGGTTCACCTTGTGGTGACGTCAGAAGTCAAAAGAGGTCCAGCCACCTGTATCTTTGAGCCTTTTCATATTTAATGTATATGTGCATATATAATCTCCATATTTAATGCATATGTACACATATAATCTCCATATTTAATGCATATGCACATATATATGCATATTATATATATATACATATATATGCATATTATATATATATATATACATATATATGGAGGAGGGGGAAGGCCTTAATCATTTCCTTTTAACGTAACAATGTTTAATATAAATGCTACAGAGTCAAAGCCATTATGATTATTATGATTATTATTAGCATGATCTACTGATTGGCATCCATGCATTAACTACACCCGTAAGTCAGCAAATCAGTTTCTTTAAAGTGGGAACAAGAACTTGTAGACAATACATCTCTGAAGCAGTTTAATTGCGGAATTTGGAACTTTTTAAGTAACTCCCTTATCCAGTCCTTCCAAAGCATCCAACTTAGCATTCCAAGACACGACTCATATTCCACTGGCTTTAACTCTTGTTAGACATACACGTGGGAACAGAAGTATGTTGGCATCCCAGAAAGTAGGTCTAAGCCAGGGATGTCCGGCCTTCAGTCAGTATGTTGAACAGAGGAAATAAAGAACTTAGGTTATTATAGAAGACGGCTTAGAGGAAGTCAGTATAGAGAACTTATAGTGCATCTTGTTTGTTTACATATTCATTTGTTTATTTCCTGGCTACCTCACTTAGGAGAATGTGAGTTGCATGAGAATAAGGACTTTGCCACGAATATGACTGCCCACGTCTAGCACAGAGTCTTGCACACTGAGCACAATATATGCTCGTTGCAGGAATGAGCATATCTTCATCTTCAGAATCTCCAGGCTCCTTCCCTCAACAGCAGGGTTGCAGCTTACGGAGAGACAGGACACCGTGGCTTTAATGCCAGGAAGCAGCGTTTATCTGTGCTGGCACTGGCCTAGTGGATTCACATCCAAAAACTGAGCCCCAAACATAGCAGGGCATTGCCTTATTTACTTTCATTTTCCTCCCTTTACATTTTAGTCCCTTTGCCTCCCTTATAAGGCAACACATGGCAATATACATTCTGACTGGGCATTTTTGTTGTTGTTTTAAGTTGGAGTCTCACTCTGTCGCCCTGGCTGGAATGCAGTGGCTGCTCCCAGCCACCGCAGCCTCGACTTGCTGGGCTCCGGCGATCCTTCTGCCTCAGCCTTCCAAGTAGCTGGAACTACAGGCGCATGCTACCACGCCTGGCTAATTTTTGATTTATTGTAGAGTGAGGTCTCGCCAAGTTGCCCAGGTGGGTCTCGAACCCGCGGGCTCAGGCAGTCCACTCACCTCAGCCTCCCAAAGCGCTGGGATTACAGGCTGAGCCACTGAGCCCAGCTTCGACTGGGTATTTTTAACATAGGGTTACTACAGGGTTACGCAAGTGCACTATGGCATGGATTGTGCCACATTCCTTTCATTCTGTTCTGAGAAGGCCCTTATCTTTCTGTTCTGAGAAGGCCCTTACCACATTCCCCCTTTGAACATCATCTTGGTTCAAGGGTTGATATTTCCATAACATCATTACATATGCTGCCATTTCTCTTTCGATCACAGCTTCAGTGAGGTTGGAGGCAGACCTTATGATTAAGGGGACTAGACAGGGCAGGATTAGACAAGCACCTGGAATCAAGAGTATAACATCTATGAGGGTTTTGATTCCCCTGAAGGTTGAGAGTCATCTCCCAAATAATTCCCCGGGGTTCCAGCCTTTCCAGGTCTGGACTGGGACATGAGCTGTTTTTCTCATTCGGTTAGCGATTTCTATTTGCAAGCAACAGTTGCTTAAGTTAAACTTTTCACAGACTCCTTCTTCAGAAGCAAGCAAGTAATCTAAGTCTGAGCAGTTTTGATAGATAGCACTGCGCATTTTGGTTTGCTGTTTGGTTAGTATGTTAAGGGCTTTAGCAGTTTCATTCGTTATTGTTTCAACAACTGCCTGCAACCGAATTGTGCAGTTTAACACGTAAATAGGGGTCCGAGAGCCCTAGGATTCATCCTCTGCCCAGGTAGCTGGGCCATAGTAATGGATAATACATTCAGGGGGCCACCCATCATCTTTCCAGTTGCCAATTTGTAGGGCACACTGCTTTCTCTGGGTATCCCAGTTCTCGTATACCTGGACCCCCAATTGTTACCCTTTGGCAAGTGAGGGCAGGAAGAGGAATGGTCGGATAGACCCCAACACACCAGATCCCAACCAGTTTGAGGGAATCTTGGTATAGGCTATTTTCCCCCATATCCAGTACAATCCATTTGGGGCCCACCATTCGATGTCCATGTTGACAGCATGCCAGGCCTGCTGGAGGTGAGGGAAGTTAGACAAAGGGTGAGGGTCTGGCTCAGAGTGGTTTGGAGACCCCCACCTTTTGGTCTTTTTGGTTGTGGCATTATAGAATTTTGGGTCCAAGCATGCCAAGCTTCCAACAGGGGTGTTAAATTTCTTGCCCCATCAGGCAAGGTAGTTTCTCCTTATAATTGAGGTTTTAAGTAGCCAAACTCCATTGGCGGGGCTATGGTATCCTGTTTCATTATAGAGTTCATGGGGATCCAGGTCCCTAGTTTCCCATGGCCCCTGATTGCCCATGTTAGTTCTTCCACATACATAGCAAGAAGAGACTTTTAAGGTTTGGGTGATAGTTTCTGCCGGGGCTAAGAACAGATTTCTGCTTGTGACAGAGGTGGGAGGAGGACTACTTTTTATTTCTTCACAGAAGGAGTAGAAGACCTGATAGGTTATGGCTGAATAGGTGGTAGTGATTCTTTTGAAATGTGACCTAGTTCCTGGGCCTTTGCCCCGCCCATGGATCCAAATGCTGATTCGGCAGCCCAGTTGCCATTTGGGATTCCACTGGTAAAGAATGGTAAAATTAATAGGGTTATAGACTCCCAACTGACAGTCTGGTGTAGCAGCTCCCCTTTGCAGGAGTACCATTGTGTCTCTCTTTTTCCAGGTGGTCCATAAGACACAGCTCCAACTAGGGCAGTGAAAGTCAGGTGTACATGACTGGCACATAAACCATTTCCTCTTGTGTGTATTTGTCATTAAGCCAATGTTCCTGCTCCCAACCTAGACCTCCGCATGCGACATCAAAAGTTCTCGGGCCCTCCATGATGAGTGCACCTTTTTTTCGTACGACCGATGCCTCTGGACCAGAACCTATAATTGCACACATATCAAAAAGTATTGATAGCGGTCTACCAGGGTTGGTGATGCGAGTCCGGGTGATCAAGGACCCCACCTCTTGGGAGGACCAGACTTCCAACCAATCTTTGTTAGAGGGGTATTGTGGGTCAGAACAAGTGTACTGATTTCCTTGTTGACAGATAGAATAGGTGGTCTTACTGTGGCTGCAGGTCCCTGAGATTCCTCCCTGACAAGATAAATGGTTGTGATAAAGGAGGGTCCAAGTAACTCCCTGACATTGCAGTGGCCAAAAGTTCAATCTGAGAGACCACCTAGAGCCAATTCCGATGAAAGTTCAAGAGGGTCTTTATTTGCAAGCTCAAGCCTGGACCTCTGTCAACCACCAACGTCACAGAGTACACCCAGAGGCCCTGACTTTCTTAAGCAGATGCCTTTTATGCTTTTACACAAAAGGAGGAGGAGTTTGGGGGGCTTTCCAGTTTTGTTACCATTTAATTGGGTAGTAACCTCTGGTGGCCAGCTTAATCGTGGAGGATTGGCCAGCCTGACTTGGGCTGACCTTGGCCCACTAGCTAGGGAAGTTGCAGAGACATCTGGAAACTTAGGTGGTTACCCCCGGCATCTGATTGGTTTTTGCTAAGGGGAAAGTGAGATAAGGGAAGGGGTTGAAGCTTGTAACCGGAGCTTTGCAGTTTTTTCCATAACTGAAACTTTAAACAGCTACAGGTTATGTTTTAAAGCAGAAAACTAAAAATGGCTGTGCTATTGTCCACAAGCTGATTACATATTTATTGGGTTATAGTATGCTCTTAACCTAAGTCTATGGTATACTTTATTACGGTCCTCTCATTCCCCCCTTCTCATGAGGGTAGAGTGAATCTAATCTTGGATTCCTTTAACATGCTGAGTTGTCCAGGGGTACCTGTTGATATTGTTGTTTGAGGACCATAAGTTGCACAGTGTTTATTTTAGTTTTTACAAAAGTTATTAGCTTGTTTATAATACATGGACCGAAGGTTAGCAACAGCAAGAGTATGATCATGGGGCCTATTAAAGCAGACAATAGTGTGGTTAACCAAGGTGAGTAGTTAAACCAACTTTCAAACCATCCCTGTTTCTGCTCCTGCTCTAATTTACGCTTAGCCAAACCTTCTCGCATTTTAGCTATGGATTCCTTTACTATTTCTGATGGTCGGTGTAGAAACAACATTTTTCTCCCATGGTGGCGCAGAGGCCACCTTGCTGGAGGAACAGTAGGTTTAAGCCTCTACGGTTTGCAGAACTACTTCAGACGGAGAGGTTAGGGATTCCTGTAGTGTGAAATAGAAGTTTCTATTCTTTTTTATGTCAGACTCTATTGCAGCCC